TCGGGTTTTCTTCGTTGTGTATGTACTACAAGGACATTAAACTTTGGTTTTGATTCCGGGTCCTACTAAATTCTGAACTTGTACCAGGGTAAAAACAAAACCATTGTAATTATGTTTTAATAAAAATTTTTAATAAAAGAGGCGCTAAAGGCTAGAAAACCTTTAGTGCACTAGCCGAGGCTAGGGCTAGCCCCTGTAGAGGATTAATAATTGGTCACAGAATGGAGATTGTTATAAATAGATGTTTTAATAAACATAACCTTGTCAAAAGCTGCATCATTACGGACATGTATAAAGTCGGTGATCTTCGTATCACGGGGGTGGACGGGCGCGGCGTTTTAGACTTCCAAATGAGGGAAAACAACAAAACGAAATTCGTATTATAAGGTCCTAGGTCTAAAAGGCGATTACACAGTCAAACCTACGTTAAACAAGTCGTGACTGGAGGTTTGAATGGCGACGTGCAGTAAGAACAATTTGCGCTGGAGCTGTAGGGAGAGGAAGAAGGAGGTAATAGGAGGACTGTCAGGCCTGTAAGTAAGAATTACTTTCGACGTGAAAACACAGGGGAAGTTACTGGGACGACTGTCTTGCATAATGGCAGACGAGCAGCATAACGGCGACATCTTTTATTCGTCCTATTTACGAGACTTCCACTTGAGGACCCGTGTTCTAGGTTTTGTGATAGTAACTCAAAAGGACCTCTGTGGCCTACGTAGTGCCAGTCGTTTTACTACGGAGGCAGTGGAGGAGCACTGCGTAACGTACGACGAAAGTTCCAAACTTTGTGTTCCGTCCCATGAGATCCCAGAAGACACATGCTCGACAAGAGAAAGTTGGACTTGATGTTTGTGTTACTTAGTCTCATTTTTTGATAGAAAGATACGGTCCGTCTTGTCTGATTCCTTTTAGTTCACGGAGAGAAGGTGTGCAGATTGCTTTGTGTCGGTTGCACAAAGGTAGTCTGACTAAATTTCACTCGACGTCCCCGTATTCTACCTAATCCCGGGAATGCTAATTTGTCAAATTTCCACCCCACCATAAAACCCTCTTTGGGTCGAGCTCACCGCGATCTAAACTTTTATGTTGTATGTCCTTCTTTTAGTGCGTGAAGGAGTGTCTCGGGAGAGGTTGTGTGTCCTTGCGTGTGTACTTGGTTACTCCCGTGCTCTATGTCTACAACACGTGTCTACCTTCCGGGACTGTCCGTCCATCCGGGTAGGGTAATGAAATCGGGCCGGAGTTCTACTTAACCCGGCACGAAAAATGTCATTAGTGTGCAGAGTGTCTACTTTATAAAATTACCTAGAATTACCTAACAAAACAGTTTCGTAAGTCTATTAAGTAACGATAGCCTACAATTCTCGTAAGGTCACCTTATATTGTTTTCACATAGAGCTCGGCCAAAGAGTTTGCAATGGTCATAGGGTGAAAATTCAGTATTTATAGAAATGTTTTATGTGTAATTCTCGAGTTTTGCTTATATCCATTTGAAAAGTAAACTCATTTTTTTTGTGTTTCACGATAGTCTCATTATACCAGACTTTGTTTGGTTGGTTTTGTTTTATATATATTTCATTGTTTTCTCATTTTGTCACCGCAATCCGCCGTACCATTGTTTTTTTTCACCCCAAAATTTCTAGATCATTTTCCGATAAGATTTTTTTACGCGAAAATCCGAAAAAATTTCGTGGGGTTGCTCACACAGACACAGAACTCCGCTCCAGTCTCCAATTGTCCGTTGTCGGCGAGCTAGGAGGTCCCCGCTAAACAACTTCCAGACTCCCGGAAGCAGATGTGGCCTGTGCTGGCCCAACTAGGCGATGTCAAAGATAGCATACCTTGCCAAGCAGGTGTGTTCCGCATTGCCTTGGCCCCTTTGCCTCGGGCGTTTGCCATTGCCCCAGGGTTCCACCCATCCAGACCGCCTGCATTGCGAGACCCCCCGGTTCGCCGAGTCACACATGCGGGAAATGCGGTATCGGGGCGGAGAAGGGTGGAGAGGGGTGGAGAGACGAGTGGGGCGGAGTGGGCGCAGTAACGGACTACCACAAAGCGGTGTTGTCAACAAGGCTCATAAAGCTGTTCGCTCATAGAGAGTCCTAGTCACGTGGGTCGTCCTCGGAGGTCGATGAGGATGACTGTACCGATGTCTACTAATCACGTTATAGATATCGAGGAGATGGTGTTGGTAGTTGTCACCTAGAACCTCTTGATCGTACTTGATTACAACGATTTAGGTGGCCGCTCCGATTTGTCTTCCCGTGACGGTACGTAGGTGACGGCGCCCCAGAAGAAGCCGACTAAAACCAACATAAAACACCGGCTTTTTCATGTCGCGGTGAATGTCCGCGCGCCGTAAACATTTGATGTCGTCACGAGGTGCCCCACGCTCGCCAAAGAGCAACACTTGCCTGTCGCAAATAACTCGGCTATGGCACACCGTGCGTTCTGAAAAAACTATAGCTTAAACAACGCAAGACGACAAAGCAAGAGGCACATCCAGTCACCAAGAGTTTGGAAAAGACAGTCCGGGGGGGAAACCTCTTTTTTTTATTTCGCCCCGGGGGTTTATCGTTTATCAGCTCCGAGTCACCCGCCGTCGTCTCTATACATAAAACCCCACCGACACCCCATCGAACTGCAAAGTATCTCCCACGAGTTTGTAAATCCCAAAGGGTAATTACATGGCCTTGGCCGATCGTCACTGTAAAGATCGACCCCTTTGTGAGGGGCGTGCATTTTTGTGTCACCACTGCAATGTTACTTCCGAGCTCCCTTATTTCCACATTCGTCCCCATTTCACGATAAATGATATCCACCACACACCTGCTAGCGTATCCCCCAGGCCCCGTTCCGGAGGGTCCCTTCTAAATAAAAATTTATAACTTCAATTTTCGTAGTAGACCACGTTCTGAAACTCTCGTTGTACTTCTCTAGATTACCTATAGGAGAGGAGTTGTGGGTATAACTTTCGTCTTTGACAATTGTTCTAATGAAAAAGAAATACCTTATAATAATGTTTAGTTCACGGGTGAGGCGGAAATTTGAAATAAGAAAAATCCGACAGTATATCATAAGAGTATGTACAAAAAGTAAATTAAGAGAATAAAAAAATTATTGATAATTACTAGTATTTTGCACCAGCGGCGTAGCCTTTATTAACCAAATCGTAATTACCACTGGTTTTGTAAACTCTGGGTGACTCTATTGTGACTCTCTTCAGGAAATTCGAGGTGCAGACCTGGTTGCTTATTTCTCTCAAATCTGGCAACAGAGTGGGCAGGGCGCAGTGTCTAATAGTAGCAGTAAGCTAACGAGTACTGAAAGCTTTATTTTGTTTTGATCCAATGCTGCACAACTGAACTGATCCAATGCTGCTGTGAAAGAAAGAAGCTATATCCATGTTGGATAGAATATCCAATTTAAATAAAAAAATAACCTTAAGGGACAACTTGAATGCTTTTTTTCTTTTTTTTCTCTTAATGCATTGCATAAAGATCGGATCGGGAAAAATCGGTATCGGCAAATTGTCAAAATCAAATGATCGGAATCGGATCGGGAGCAAAAAAAGGTGATCGGGACATCCCTATTAATAATATTGTAGCGTGTTCAAGTAACCAAGGGATATAGTCGTTATCAAATAAGTATAAGATGTGCACAGTTATGTAATGCACTGCTGTTGGGGGGAGAGACCGCCCCTTCCATATGAGTGTGTGTACGGCGGGCATGGAAAAGCGGTGAGCGCTGGCTTTATTGCTACTGTATCCGTAGCACCCCAATAGTTGGGACATCAGTAAAAAAAGGATTGCCCCCCTAAGCGCAAATGTCAAACTCCGCCTATGCCTAAAATCCTAACATGAGTCAGCATTTTAGCACTTCCTGTTCCCTGATCTGAAGGTCAATGGTTGTTTGAATGTGTTTTTGGTTGTTAACCTGAAATAAGGTCTGTGGTTAACACAAGATGAAGAGATTATAACGTTTTGTTCTTCAACATAAAATACGTCAGTTGCTAACAAGGGTCTAAATCAGACGACTTAATGTCATCAAGCCCAACATTAGCATCCTTTAGCTTAGCGGTGGTGACGTGAAGTCATGTGACCGTGCTGTAGTTCCTTTATAGCCCAACATTAGCCTCCTTTAGCTTAGCGGTGGTGACGTGAAGTCATGTGACCGTGCTGTAGTTCCTTTATAGCCCAACATTAGCCTCCTTTAGCTTAGCGGTGGTGACGTGAAGTCATGTGACCGTGCTGTAGTTCCTTTACGTAACGTACACACGGTTCTGTCGCGTGCTTCAACGGAGACGCTTCCCATTCACTTTGAATGGGGTGACGTCACGCTTTACCGAACTGCATTGTGGTTCCGTCGCTTTGCCTCCGTTGCTAGCGCTGAAAGTTGAGAAAAGTTCAACTTTCAAGCGTCGACGGAAGTTCCAGCCAATCAAATCATATGCCAGTACAAGCCCTAGCCAATCAACCGCGTGCTTGTGTGTCCGGGGCGGGAGATTAATGTGATTGGTTGTTGGTCGCGCGCCAGACACGCCCACTGGCAAACTTCAACGCAACGGAACCGTGTGGACGTACCGTTAGAGCATTATCTTTTTAATTCAGAAATCATAAAGTGGTGTTAATGTGTGGAGATTATCCTGCCAAACTAAACGTGTGAGAATCATAAACGTTTTTCGCAACACAGATTGTTCCGCAATACTCTAAAATCCAATGCAATAGTCCCATCAGCATTAACCAAGGGAGCTCTGGTGATGCTGATTTCTAGGTCAACCTACAAAAATATGTCATGCCTGCACCACGCTATTCCCCAAAGGCAGTTTAATAAACTAGCTGTGCTGTAAAACCTCACAAGGTGTCATTTCTCAGGTCAGGACACTCTTCTGGCACTAAACTCCACAAAAGGGCCCCGAGCAGACGGCAGGAAATGAGCCACTACAAGGCGCCAGTTTTATCGTTTTAGATCCCGGACTCAGGGTCTGTAATTCTTCCAGACAGATGGTTTATTTGATCTCGGCGAGGACGAGGCCTGAGGAATAAACAAGGTGACAAACGGTGGCCAAGGCCAAAATCCCCTCAGTGAAGTTTGTGTTGGCGATGAGCCGGAAACTAAATCAAGCTCTTCATTCTGTCTGCCCTTGAACAGACCTGAGGGACGGAGAGTGGCCGCACTGGGTCTTACTGCTTAATCCATTTCATTCTTTCTCCTTTAGTTTCTCAGACACCATCATAAAACTGACAGACAGTGAGGAATTCATCTCATATATTCCCGAGGTACGGATTAAGAACCAGGCCGTAGTCTCTGATGTTTTTGTGTCTGCACTGTGTCTGAATTTGAAAAGTCAGGATCACCGAAGTTAATAATTCCTCCTGACAGTGACATAAATGTGCGTAACCAAAGTTAACCGCAATGCATTCACTAGTTGAAGAGACATTAAACACTAAAAAACATAGTTGTGCTCATGCTTGTTCAAAGTTATTAG